TTAGATTTTTCAAACTGGAATGATTATTTATCGCTGGTGGATTGCTTTAGTTTGGACTCTCATTTATTATTGTATATACAGTAAGGCTAAGATCGGAAAGTTCACGTCCAAAAAGCAAATTAAAACCGATCATAAAATGTGTGGGCATGATTTTGAACAAACGACGAAATGGACTCACACATCGAAATCGAAATCGTCCTCCTCAATCTTGTCCTTTTCGTCTGTCAGGACTTCAATATCATCGTTGAGGGCGCGGGCAGCAATGGCGTGGGGAACTGAAGCATAAAAGGACAGAACAAAACCAAGTTTTATTTGCCATGCAATGGACTCTTCACCACTGGAGTATAATTTAACTGAAAGCGAAGATAACGAGCACTGGAACACTTGGAATTCATTTAAGTATTTTTGTTGTAAGTAGGAGTATCACACACCTGTATCAAATTCCCCCACCCTCGACCATTCCCTTTTGTCCGGTGGTTTTTTATTTTAAATGTAAATCGGGAACAGCTTTTCTTTTTGTTAAGATTTATTTTGTTTTTTTTCTGCATGGTTGCGGAAAAAAAAGTTGCGGAAAAGTCGCACCATTTATCATGACATATTAGTTGTTGCGGCAAATCTTATAGTTCTCTAGATATAGGACCTTAAAATATGCATCTTTAAGATGACGCCACGTTACCCATGATGATGTCAAAGGTTTTAAAGTCACACACAAAATGGAAAGAAACAAAATCTGAACAAAAACAAAGTCTATTTCTCAAGTAAGCTGTAAAGCCCACAAAATCTTAAGGAAAGAGCAGTTTAACGGCTGCAATTTGCCCACAAACATTAACCTGGAGTTGTCATGCCACTTACCGCAAGTAACTCCAGCGTCCTCGTGATGCCCACAGTTATGGGTAAACCAGCCCAGATGTTGGCATTCAGCTATGCTACATTCATATCCTCGGCATTGAACATCGTCAAGTATGATGTACCCTGATCCTTGACCGAAGTGAGCAGATTTCCATGCATGCGATGCCCTTGGAAAACCAAGCATGCGGCAGACGACGTTAGCATCTTGAATGCTCCAGTGATCATCGCAGATTGTACCCCAATGGCCTAAGTAGTAGAACTCAACACGACCCTGGTATTTGGATCTGCCACCAACGAGACGAACTGGAACTGGAACAACAGAGCAAGAAATGGTTTTCTCATTATATTGAAAACAAATCACCACAACTTCAGAAATGAACATATTATTTTGCACCTAAATCAGTCAGCAAATTCAGACACGAGTTTTATGAGAAATAATAGGCGCACGGCATGCTATACATGTGACAATGTTTTACAGAATGATTGGTGTGACGTCATTGAAATATTAAGACCCGATGTGAACCAGACAACCGATCCCGTTAGTTCGGTGGTCGACTGGTAAGACGTCTGCTCTAGAAAGCAGGAGGTGGTAGGTTCAAGTCCCACTACAGTGATTTTTTTTCAACTTTCACTCGCAGACGGGAAGTTACACACTATGGGTTGATAAAAAAACGAAACCGAGATATTATTGCTAATTGGAACAGAAGTAGGGCACATGTGAATCAAAGATAAGATATCCACTGTTAGTATTGAATCTCCTTTTTTAAATGACACCCTGATCAAGGGCGGATCCAGAACACAATTTTTTTTTGGGGGGGCCAAAACATTTTGTGGTCCCCCCAAAAAGTGGGTCAAAAATTACGGCGTGGGGTTCGGGGCACGCTTAAGGGCCCCGAAAAAACTTGGATTCTAGATGCTCTGTGGTGCGATCTGAGGCGATTTCTGACCACTTTAACCAATGTTTTTATTGCGATGTCACATAAAAAAAAAATTTGGTTTCGTTTTTTTTTTTTGGGGGGGGGGGGGGGGGGGGGGCCATGGCCCCCTTTGGCCCCCCCCCCCCTGGATCCGCCCTTGACCCTGATCACGTTATTACATTCACGGTTGACTGAGCAGTGACCAATTTTATGAAAGGGTCTATATAGAGAGTTGCACCACTTTTCAATTGTGGTTTATTTTTGTGGTGTTTTTTTATTTGTCACAGAGTGAAAGGCTAGTGTTGCCAATGAAGGCCGATGGGCGAAAAAAAGAGATCTCACCATGAAAAGAGGCGCAATTCTCCAAATAGACCCTTTCATAAAATTGGTCACTGCTCAGTCAACCGTGAATGTAATGACATGGTGATAGTGTTATTCTAAAGAGGAGATTCAACCCTAACAGAAGATACCTCCCTTTGATTCACATGTGCCCTACATCTGTTCCAATTAGCAATAATATCTCGGTTTCGTTTTGTTTGTGTCCACCCTGTCTACACTGCTTATACATCGGTGAAGTGCAAAAGCTGATTTTGACATACAAATATACTACATGTAGTAACGCTGTCTACCTTGCCACCCAGTTAATGACAATAGACCTTCCCTAATATGCGTTTTTATTAAGGCCTTTTTGAAGACGTCATGGTATGAAGGCGTTACACATTTGTTACATTTTTTTGTGCAAATATCTGTGACCAAACAAACCCTATTACAAACACATTTTTGAATTAGCATGTTGGGTTCGTGAGATATATGGCGATAATCTTCAAAATGTCGGAAATCTTTATAAAATCACGCGATGACGTCACTATGACGTCAACTCAAATTTCTTCTGTAACACATCCTTATCTATAAACAAATACCTTAACATGCGAGAACTCAGAATCAGAAAAGGATAATTATATGACCAACCTGCCAGAGCAACTGCAGCACAGGCTCCAAGCAAAAGAACCATGAAGAGATTCATGATGATGATGATGATGATGTAGCAAAAGCTCTGGAGAACTTCGAATCAACTGTAGCAAGTGACGGTGGAAGTGATGCAGCCGTATGGTTGCAAACTAGAGCTAAATATCGGCCTTATATAGATTTCAGCTTCAAAGGGAAATTGCGACCAAAGAAGACCCCGGTTAAAGTTGTTTGTCGATCGGAAACGTGTTTGCAGAGGTGATGAAAGCATACCCGCAATTTTACCTCAGGGCAGAAAAAGGAGTGAGCCTAATTTTGTTCAAAATGTTTACTTTTGTTGAAAATAAAACAGGTTTCAGTGATAAAACATAACAATGGTAATTATTTTTTTGTTTCCGGTGTTTACTAAATTCCCGTCTTGGTTGTTTATTCTAACGTAGATCAAATAACCTGAAATTGGACAGAAAATGCCGAAACAGCTCAATACAAGGAACATTTATCTCTTTACGTACCTGGGTAATCACAAATTGTTCAAACACTTGATTGACATTTTCATATGTGGACCCACTATACCAGGAAATGTTTCTAGTGCTGTCTGATTGTAATTGGATAGAATGTGCTGGTATTTTGGAGTAGCCCTGGCTTTCTTTTTACCTGCATCCTCCATTTCTGGTTTTGCATTTGTCCTTAACTTTCCTTGTCAACCTAACCATACCCTTTCCCACCCTTCCTCGCCTCTTCCTTTCACTTTTTCAATATTTCATCACCACTGCACCATGCCCCCAATAATCAATTCATTGTCATCACATCTCTAGGTTTCCCATATCCCGTTTTTTTCTCAAGCTTATTGTCTTATATTCTCATATTTCTTGATCCAGGTAAGATACTTTTAGCGAAGCATTCCGCCATCCATCTCTATTCCCCGTTGTGAAGCTTCCCATTATTGTGGTACCGAGTGGTTCCTGTGCTCAACGATAAGTCATTGTCCTCTTTCCCCTGTGCCCCACCCAATACTTGTAAAAAGTGCCCTTCGTTTGTTGACAAGTGCACTTTTTATGAGTGCCCATTTTGAAAAAAAAATCGTGCCTTTTTGTGTCATCGGCCGTTACGGGTGGCTTTTTGTTTATACAGTATTCGCGCATGTATCGCCCTGAAAAACACCATATATTGTCTTTCAGTGTGCATAATTTTCGGTTTTGAACATCGCCTACATCGACGGATGATACCAGTCCCAGCCCCCCCCCCCCCCCTCCCAACTATTTGATTTTACGGAGGCCAAGTGTCCGGCGAAAAAAAAGTGTATACGTTTCAGCACGGATGTACACGTGCCTTTCTCAAGAAATGTTTGGCACCCCCCCCCCCCCCAATCAAATTGACCTTGCTGCGTCCCCCTTTATCCTAGTTATAGTAACGCCACTGATTCTGAGTGAAAGCCACTGAGAAAATAGCACTGCAGCGCGCAAACCATAATGCTTAAATCATCATGAAGGTGTCCTATACCATGATTAGAGTTTCCGTTGAGTGCTAGATAGACCATTACCATGTTGCAGCCATCTTGATTCCCCCCCCCCCCCCATTCAAATCAACGTCACCAAAGCGAGACTAGAAGGGAAAAATAGTCTGGTTCCTTTTTGCACAAAACACATTATCATTCAGTACTTATTAGATACTGGAACATGACTGAAATGGTGGCAGCATGATAGAAGTCTATTGGAGCAGATCCAATAACGTAACCACGGGGGTGGTGGAGGGGTCGGGGGGGGGGGGGGGGGGGGAGGGTGAGTGCGTGCCTCCGGGTGCCACCCATTTCGAAACTTTAATTGAACAAAAGTGTATATCAATTGACTTTAAGTACCCCCTTGCAATTTGTACACCCCCGGATACCCCTCAGAATTGTAACCTAGTAACCTAGAGGGAGAACCTGAACGGTCCGTGGTCGGCGGGTAGCATTACACTAAGGGGCATGAGACCAGTGTCCCCTACCTTTGTTCTCCCGTGCCCCCCCCCCTCTTTAGTTACTTCAATGAAAAGAGATAATTATTTATACTCATCATGTAAATAGTGTTTTTCCCCAATGAAAAAAGAACCACACTTAAAACCACTAATTTTTATTTGCGCTTCTACTTCTCTACAGTTTTATTTGATTGAAATCTTCAGTTTGGGATTGTCAGAGAAATTGTCAATCATTATGATACATGTTAATTATGATAACACATTATTTTAAACTTTTCCGTTACAATGTGAATACTCCGGGAGTCCTCGAGTTGTCATCTAACTTATTACCCTCACTTTGTTAGGGCGACACTTTGTGCTTGACTTTTCTAAATGAGGGCAACACAAATCATTATAGGGTGGCGATTTGGTATCGCCCTATTGTTTTAACATACAATTTGGAAAAGGAATTATTTTGTTGTCGCAAATGGCTGAAAAATTTTACTTGGGAGGAGAAACCCTCAAATATGGAGTTTCGTACGGGTAGGATAAGGTATAATTGGGGTTGGGGTCATTGAAAAGTCAATGGGAAGTGTCGCCCTTTTATAGTATGTGGTAGAATTATTATTACTACGGAACCAAACTGGTTGCTGGTCAAAGCAGAAAAAACCATTTTTTTTCCTTTTTGCGTTGAAAACTTCTGATAACTGGGCGCATGTGGTTCTTTCTATTGATATCGAGCGCAATTGGTATAAAACATCAATGCTTCGTATTACTCATTGGAAGTAAACTAAGAATACACGATAAAGATTTTGAAAGGCGGTACTAAGCACTTGAAATTGAGGCAGGCTTTAAGAAAGCATCTACAAGTTGCAGTAATGTTATTCAACTAAATTTATCGGTGACCAAACGCACACTATTTTGATCGGAGCAAAAAAAACAAAAATCTGATGAGCGTTTCAGTGGGTCTCAAAACCCAACTTGACCCGTGTCTTGGCCGTCTTTTTCCTGATCCTAGCAGTGCTCGAGCATCTCTTCCCACCAGCATCCCTCGTGACAACATTCCTCGTGCATGCCGCGCTTGCCGACGCCCTCACTCATCAGGAAAGTGTTGGCCTCTCCCGCTGACAGAAACTCTAGTTTTATATGAAATAAAATGGAGACGACAATCATAATTAACGTTGGCAAGTTGTGACCGAGAGAGGGCTCTTCTATAGGCTGGTTACGGATGCAGCATCTTTTCCAACCCCAAGATGTGGGATTTCAAGGTCGAGGAGATTTTGTAGTTTGTGCATTTTGTTCTCGTTTGAAGCAATAAAAGTGCTTAAAATCCAAAAATGGATGCCTAATAACTAACCTGATGAAGTTTTAGCTCTGTGAATGCTGTAAATTTAGTGGAAATAGAACAAAAATCAAGTCCATATTCTGAATTTCTATTTCAATTCCAAAGTTGCCCTGTCATACTGTGAGTTGCGCCCAAAATCAGCATACGGGACAGAAGAAGAACGAATAGAGCACAACATTTGACCAGAAGGTTCTTTACCGTCGTTGTCCCGTTTGTGATGAATCAGGCCGGACGGGTGGCATACGAACGACGACCAACTGTGGGTAGTTGTCCCACACACACGGAACCGTGGTCCACTTCTGCTGTAGTATTGGTTTTTGTTCTTACTGTGGGGTTAGAAAAAAAACAGGGAAAGTGCAATTAGACCGATAGAATCACATTTTCGGTGAATACAAATGCTGTCCGGTTTTTTAGTGACATTTTCTTGATGCACTTACTTAAAAATTTGTCAGGCTTGTTTTGTGTGAACTGGGACCATATGCCTTAGTAATGAAGTTATTGTCAATCGCCCGAAGCAAATTTCAGTGTCTGAATTGATGTATAATGGCCTTTGCATGTGACGTCACATGTGGGGGCAGGTGTTTGCTCTTGTGTGATGCACGTGAGTAGACTGTTTTTGCGTGCACTGTCATTAAATTTAAATGGCAATGCTGCCACCAGCGAGGTCGCGCAGTGGAAGGGGTCTATTGGATAGACGAATTGCAAATTGGAATCGAAACCGAGGCTCTCAGTGCTAAGCCATTGTATGACATTAAGGACCTTTTCTGTTTAAATCCTTTCAACAAAAGACAGCACTAAGGCCCTCGCTTTCAGTGCCAATTTGAAATTCACCATTTTTTTCAGCATGCATCAGCGGCGATGTTAGAAGATTTCGCAGGGACTCGAGGAATTGGTTCTGCGTCATTTGTTCTTGTTCACTCAAAAATTGCCCGGGTTAATTTCACCCAAGAAAGGGTGAAAACTGCAACTACCCAAAATTGGGTTATTCTATTATTGTTTGGGTTAGAATTTCTGTTAAATTCAACCAAAACCTGTGGTCATACAATACCAAATTTACTTGGTCTTGTATGACCAGAACGTTTGGTTGAATTCAACGGAAATTCTAACCCAAACAATTGGTTACAGAACAACCCAATTTTGGGTAGTTGCAGTTTCTACCCTTGCTTGGGTAAATTCAACCCAGGCAATTTGTCAGTGTTGCTTTCTTGTAGCACTGCATCGTGCAATCATTGTAAATTCATGGATCGTTTTTTACATTAATTTTACATCGTTACCCAATATCTAGTATTATCTGTGAATTTAGGGCACTCATTCATTGCTCTACACAATAAGAGTGAGATAGGAGGGTTCTCGCAGAAAATTTAAAACAAATCATATCTTTGTAAACAGATTTGAACAAATACAACAAAGTGGACTCACACATCGAAATCGTCCCCTTCGAAATCGTCCTCTTCAATCTTCCCTCCTGTCAGGACTTCTATACCATCGTTGGCTGGAGGGGCAGCATTGGCATGAGGACCTGAAGTATAAATGGAAAGAAACACGCAACAGAGTTTTACTCACGATGCGATGGACTCTTCACCACTGGAGTATAATTTTACTGAAAGTGAGTATGAGGTTCAGTGGAAAACAAAACGAGCAATAGAACCCTTGAAATGCAGTTCAACTTTATTGTGTGTCATACACCTGTGTGTCAAATGCCCCCACCCTCGGGCATCCCACGCTGCCCCATCCCTTATGTAAGGTGATTTTTCTAACGGAGTTTCTGTTTCATGCATTTCGGCGCAAATAAAAATCGCTACAGTTTACTTCTGCAAAAAGGGGCTGTGCTCCAGGGGTTATATGTTTGGCGACGGAGGGGGTGGAGGGGGGCTCACTGACAGATAAACAATACACAGTCAATACAAAAAATAATGTGAGAACTCGGAATCAGAAACTGAGATAGGCAACCAACCTGCCAGAGCAACTGCAGCACAGGCTCCAAGCATGAGAACCATGAAGAGATTCATGATGATGATGATGATGTAGCAGAACCTCTACGTCGAATCAACTGTAGCAAGTGACCGTCGTAGTGATGTAGCCGTATGGTTGCGAACTAGAGTTAACTATCGGCCTTTTATAGACTTCAGCTGCAAAGGGAAACTTTGCGACCAAAAAAACGCGTGATTTGCTGGGACATGTTTGTGGAGGTGATGGGCACTACCTGCAATTATACCTCAGGGCGGAAAAAGGAGTTACCTGATGTTAGTCCAAATGTTTACTTTTGTTGAAATTAGAAATTGTTTCAGAGATGAAACATAACAATGGTAATTATTTTTCTTTATTTCCGGGGTTTACCAAATTCATGTCTTGCTTGTTTATTCTGACGTAGATCAAATAACCCGAAATTGGACAGAAATGTTTAAACAGCTCGATCCATCAAACTCACAAAGTAAATGAATAACTGAATAATTAGACTTTTTTTCTAACACTAAAATATATTTTCATATGTGGACACAAACTACACCAGGAAATGTTTCTAGTGCCGTCCGATTGTAATTGGATAGAATGTGCTGGTATTTTGGAGAAACCCTGTCTTTCTTTTCACCTGTATCCTCCATATCTGGTTCTACATTTGTCCTTAAATTTCCTTTCCAAACCAACTACACCCTATCCCACCCTTCATCGCCTCTTCCTTTCACTTTTCAATACTTCATCACCACTGCACCATGACCCCAATAATCAGTCCATTGTCATCACATCTTTAGGTTTCCCTTTATTTCTTGTTCCATGTAAGAGCACTTTCAGTGCTGCATTCCGCCATCAAGTGCGCCCCGCCACCACCACGCTAAACCCAAGATGCACGCCACTGGCTCCAGTGCAATGTTCACACACCGGACTAAACTAATAGCTATGGTCACTTTTTTGCAAGTTTTTTTTTAAAGCCTTTTCTGTTTCCATGCTCACGGAGGTTCGAGACTATCTACAGATAATTACAGTCATGCATGTGATAAATTACTGATTCCCCAGTTCTGGGGATCCAAAATGAACCTGCGGAAAAAAAGAATGACGTAAAGAGTGCACATACTACGCAGTAATCAGCTATGCTAGTGTTAACTAATAAAACCGCACGATATTTTGCCTGGTATCTGTCCGCTCCGTTCACAAGTACCCCCCTCACCGGCAAAGGAAATACAGTTGGGGGTGACCGACTGACGCCATCTTACCTGACTGCAATTCATTTGTCGCGAAGCGCGGCCACTGCGCGTCAACCAGTGAAATGTCCCGCCCATGGGGCGTCGTTGTTAGGTAAAAGGGCGCCCTCTTTTGGTAGCGCACGGAGCTCATACATGAATTGCAATTGCTAAAGATTCTGACTACATGGACAAGATTTGCCAAAGTAGTCAAATCTTTTGGTCTGGTAATCAGACTAATGTTTTTGTTGTTAGGTTTCTCTTGAATATCACATGCAATTATCAGCGCCCGTCAGGCAGTCGCCAGGGGCGTGTTCTCGACACAAATTATACCAGCAAAATAATAAAAAGGACCACTTCAACAAATCGAAAATGATGTCTGAATATAAACGGTAGGGGAAAACCTCATTTGGCACTTCATGTCAGTCTGCGAAGATCGTTCGCGTGCAGTGATCAATTAAAGTTCACGTCGGTCGTTTAATAGTTCATTGGGTAGTTCATTGGGCAATAGACTTGAGGACAAGTCACTATGCAGTCATTTTTTGTCTGTCGCCCCGACATTTACTAGCACATCGTTGTATATCGTATAATTATTATCGTTTGCTGGCCTCGACATGTCTAGGTAATTGGTATCTCACCGTATTGCACCGACCGTCCCCGCATGTTAGTGACATGACCGCACGCTACATGCTAAAATGCTGTATGCGGTATGCGCTGCGTGGCGGGCGAACTAAACCCGCGAACAATTACTGACTTGATTTCAAGTCTAATTGGACAAAAGTGAAAGTACAACCAGGGTACCATGGTACAGAGCAACTTGTTTTAGCAGAGGTACTTTTCTGTGTAGTTTGCTCAGTGCATGGCGGATCAGGAATTCCTCAGGGCAACGAGGCTTAAAGTAGGCCTAGTGAATCAAGATGTAGTGAGTGATGGAGTTTATTAAAGGAGTTAATTAAGTCAAATTTTGATTCTTTTTACATTGTGTGATGATCAGACGGGGGGGGGGGGTCGAAGCCCCAATCACTCATTGGATCCGCATTTGTTGTTCCGACTTATAAAAGTAAATTTAAGTAAATTTCCAAACAAAGGGTACTAGTATACCAGTTTTGTATTGTAAGTGCATTCAATTCTAAGACAAATAGTTGAATGTCGCCCTAGAGGTATAGTCTCGCAACCAAACGCTGGATACGCTGCAGAATTGGCCTCATTGGAAAAAATCCAAGGAGCAGGAAAAACGTCGATCGAAAGCGATTCCAGCATTGTCCAGGCTGGCGTCATCCAAATTTAGCATATATTTCTTTGTATTCCTAAAAAAAAATCCATTATCTCAAAGAACAGGGCGGAAATTACTCCCACGAAGTCAACTCACAAGTGGTAGAAAAAACAGCAGCACTAAAAACTAAAAGCATCGACGGATTTTAATTTAGTTCTTGGCTTAGAATATGGCGCGTAATTCATGTTTAAGTGTTTATGCGCCCATTAAATTCTAAATTGTGACTTTACGTTCGTTACAGGATTGTAATCATTCAACCACGATTAATTATCTGATCTTAACTACTACATGTAGTATGAAAACGGCGAAATAATTTTCCCGTTTTGTAAAATAATTATCAAAAATGCGGGTGTAGGCCTCCTCAACAACATTTCAAAAGTTGACACACTAGCTGAGTCTTTACTAATATTTGTCGTCGAGTGATGTATAACAGTCCTTCACATCGCCCACCCACGGGCAGCATGGGCTAGAAAAAGCATATAAGCACGTCGATTTCTCTGGTGTGCCCAACCGGAGCTGGCTTTACGTTGCTACTATCTGCCCTTGTTTGCGTGGTATAGTTTCTACCAAGAAGGTTCAGTTGAGCTTCTCTATTCCAGTATCACCATGAAGTACTTCATCCTGCTTCTTGTGGTTGGGGCTTGTGTTGCAGCAGCTATCGAAGGTGGGTACTTAATTCTTTGATGCTGACACGACACGAACTAACCAATAATATTGACTGGTATATAGGGTTGTTTCTTGATCACCAGAAGGCACACAGGCGATGTCCATGGTGCTATTCGTACCCAATTCGAAAAGGAAGAAAACCTTTTTTTAAACTAAATGATTGTAGCCACTCTCCTAACACAGATAAATGACAATTAAGTTATTAGAGTTATATTGAATGGTAGTTAGGGAGACAAATAAATTATTTTATTAGGGAAATACTGGTCATTAGGGAGACAATTAATGTCGCCTCACAAATGCTTTAAATACCATTTCTAGAACTACCGGAAAGTTTAGGATGAGTAGTATCTTGTGGTTATGGGTGCCTTGTGCACAAGTCTATGGGAATGTTTCTCCCGTGTACCATTTTTGGTACATTTATTATGTGTACTATTTTGATCACTGTTACAAGCTCGAACCTTGTCCAAACGCTCCTCTCTTAGGCCAAAAACAAGTCTCCGGTTTCTGGTACGGAGCTTGCCCAAAAAGTGGTGCGACGACGCGGCTTTTTTTTTTTACCTGTTTTTTTTTTGCTTCAAATGTCGGCTGATGACTGCAAATGGTGCCCGACTAAACTTAGTGCAAATAATGGAGTCCAGAGAGGCCACATAAAGCTTATTCTCGATCATAACCCCCATCTAAAAACACGTTAAAATTGTGCAGCAGCAGGATTCCAGTCAAACCAGTGAGTTTGGCGGTTTTGAGACATAATCTTTTATTGAAAAAAAAACTTTTTCATTTTGCCGACGCGCATGGCTATGGCGACGCGCACGCATACCAGAAACCGGAGACTATATTTTTGGGGCTTATCGGTGAAAGCATAAGCATACAACATACTAATGATTTATTATATGAACGGAGATTCACTATTTAATTGTTATACATATTCGTTCAGACTGTTAGCGTACCACAGAATCTCTTGCAAGGAGCAAGCTCAAAAAGAAACATGAGCTTTTTCGTTAGTTCTGACTCATTGGTCATAATAACACAAAATACAAGTAATATGTAACGATTGTGTTCTCTTAAACGTACCGTATCCCTGCGATATGTTCTAGTTTCGCCGAACAAACAATTTCTTTTTCAATTGCTATTTTCCAAGCAATAAAAAGTTATTCACTTTTGAATAGGCATCGAACGAAAATATCCACAGACGTTTTGTTGTTTCTTTACACAGTTCGAATTATTGGCAACCAGACAATAACTTGGCTCTCGCATGAGGGCGGGTTCATTTTGTGCTCAAAATGGAGGGCTGCAGACACCTACAATATGAAACAAGTGGGTTTTTTTTTGGTTAAAACAAAACATACAAATTGAAAGTTCGATAAAAGGAAAAATCATTTTTTTTTGAAGAAAACTGGAAAAATATTATGAAACAGACTTTCATCAAGGCATATATTTTAATGAGAAATTATGAGTATTTAACACTACGAGAGATAAAAAGACTCACACGCTACTAATTAAAAGGCTCGTTTTCTTTTCATTTCTTTGTCATTTCATTTTGTTGCACTGTTGCATTTGAATTAAAGCGCGCGCCTCCTGACACTAATTTCTGGATGTGTATACCAAAAATGTTCAACACATTTTGTTGCGCGTGCAAGGCGAAAGTTGCGTTGAGTGAAACTGGCTGCAGGTCCGTTGACTAATTATCTTGTGTACAGACAATGTTACATTTGTTATAATTTATTATGTTTCGGTCAGGTAATGCCAATTTTCAGCAAGCTGTTCTCTTCTGCACCGCATGCATGTGTAGTCTCTCTCTTGAAATGTGTAAAAGTGGTGACAAAACCGAATATCCCTTTGAATACCGTCGTGCCAAAGTTGTCCAAACGTAGCTTGAAAATTTGTTAAAACGTTGATATCCAGCATTTTCAAAACTTGTAAAAACGAAGAGCAAAGAAAGGACAAAGAAATAAACAACAGCTTAGAAATAGTTATTGGAAAAGCAAAACAACACAAACCAAAAGTGAACACATACCAAAAAAAGTGTCAAAACAAAACAAAAACTACGAAGTATTCATTTGCCTACAGTTTAGAGGAAAGAATACTTGCATGTATCTGTTATTTCATTTTAGAATTCGTTTCATGGCCCTTATAATACTGACATGATGTAGTCCATGTATGTAAAGGCGCTATTCGAGAGAATTTTGTCAAACGTCTCGTGGTAACGAAATGAAAATGTGGAGAATGGCCTTGATATTTAGGGTTAATAATTATGAGCAAAATAACACGCAAAAGATGATTAAATGTTTCGGTTCACCGTTAGTGTCATCACAGATCTCACGTCCATATAGTGTAACATCTTCTTTCTTTCTTTTTTATATGTGACCATTTATTTTGTTCGATGTTTGCATTCTGACATGCAGATGACGCCAAGGCATTGGAGGCCTTAATGCAAGCGATTGACAGCAATGAGCTAGATGCAGAGATGGAGACTATGGCCGATCTCCCCCTGTAAGCTAACGTCATTATTATTTGTTATATAACTGACATACAAATCCTAGTCATTTGATTGGTGGAACTCACATCACGTGACATTCGTTATTGCTCCTACTTACGCCGCGGCTCAGAAAGTACTATCCACCCATGGGGAATGGGAAATACTATTCAACAGTTAGGATCATGACGCTATATTTGTGTGCAAATGCATGCTGGTTTGCGCGTTCAGCGTTGCGCGTAGCGCGTCTTGTTCCAAAGAGCCAGCGCTACAGCGTTGGATTCAAACATTTTCGTGAAGGGGTGGTTTGCAAGAGAGAAATAGATTTTCCTTCATTTTTTTTTTGAAAAAAAGTTCAAAAATATCAAATGACAAGGATCTATATGTCAGTTATATAAAACAAATATTGAGTGGCTTTATTTAAATTGTGAAATAGGAGGAATATTATCGCTCGGTAAAATCTGGACTTTTCCAGTTCACTCGGCTTCGCCTCGTGAAGTGGAAAAGTCCAGATTTTACCTTGCGATTATTCCTCCCGTTCCACGCTGATCCACTCAATATTTGTATAATATATATATATATATAAATATAAATATAACACCTCACCCACAGATTCTGTGTCTTGATTGGCTGAGAGTGAGTCACATGTTACTTTCTAATTTTGCTATCTTTCTGTGCACGGCCACAAGTACTATACCCGTAGCAACCAAAGTACTATACCATTAGCAACCAAAGTACTATTTCCATGGCGCGGTATTTGTGTGTGGATGTTGGTGTTCGAGTTGCCCGTTGCGCGTTGCGCGTAGCGTGTATTGTTCCAAAGAGAGCGCGCCGCAGACTTGGGTTCAAATATTTCGTGAAGGGGTAGTTTTTTCCACCAATTTTGTATTGAAATTGAAGCTTATTTCAACTGTGTTCAGATTTAAAAATTTAAAATATTAAAACCAAGCAGAATCTGTGGGCGAAGTGTTATAAAACAAATATTGAATGCTTTATCTCGTGGTGAAGTAAAACTAGCCTCCCTCGGTGATCCATGGACCATTCTGTTTTCCCTCTGCTTCGCCTCGGGAAAATAGAATGTCCATGGATCACCTCGGGAGGCTAGTTTTACTACACCACTCGAAGCATTTAATATTTGTAACATATTGCACATCATAACCTTTATGATTTGCTGAACGGAAAATCATGCTTAGCACATCTACTTACTAAGCAGAAAATAGACGAGAACCAGTCACAAGCAGTATAAATCTCTTAGCATTTTGGTTGGCTACCTGATATTGCTAAACATGTGTTTTCTCTGCTCACCACGACTATGCTCAGCACATAGTTTCCATTATAACACCTCACCCACAGATTGTGTATTTTGATTGGTCAAGAGCGAGTCACATGATACTTTCTATTTTTTGCTATCTTTCTGTGCACGGCCAAATGTACTATTCCCGTAGCAACCAAAGTACTATACCATTAGCAACCAAAATACTTTTTCCAGGGCGCTGTATTTGTGTGCAAATGCATGCTGGTGTACGCGTTGCGCGTTGCACGTGGCGCGTTTTGTTCCAAAGAGAGCGCGCCACAGAGTTGGGTTCAAACATATCGTAAAGGGATAGTTTGGAAGAGAGAAATACATTTTCCACCAAGTTTGTATTGAAATTGGACGTTTATTTCAACATGTGCGGTAGGAATCAAAACTATCACCCCTAAACTAACAGCTCGTTTTTAAGAGTCACAATTTTGACTCCCGGAATTCGATCTTGTTAGAATAACACAAAAACGCCAAGTTTTTACAGGATGTTTGTGTAGACGTTTATTTGCTTTTGCTAAATGCTCTCTCCGGCAGTTAACATCATTTCATTTAAAACACGTTTTGTAGCTCAATTGGGCGCATTCCAGGTCGTAATGTGTTTTTTTTTTAAGTTAAGAGTTTTCTTACTTTTAATGAACGGGGAGAAATATCCGATTTTTTTTAATCCAAATAAATTTTCAATCCATTTGTCTGCCCAGTGCCCCCTCCCTCCCTGGATCTGCCCTTAATCTTGGGCGGATGTCATCGCCCTTTTTCCGATATTTCGGGATTTTGTTAAAAAGCCTTCCCGCTGACCAAAATGCCTCTAGTAGGCCTAGATTAGTCACACATGTCCATGACTGCTATTAACTGAGACCTGTGAATGTGTTTCGTATACAGGAAGAACGGCGTCTCCACAGGATGGTGGCACCACCACCCCCACCACACTCACCACCATCACCACCACCACACCCACCACCACTACCACCACAAGCGAGATGAAAACTAATCAGGTATTTTGTTAATGAAATAGGGCCTAGACCTAGAAGAAAATGTACATAACATGTCTAGGTTCTCCTTTCGAAAGCAGCGTTGTATAGTCGAGTCCATTACGAGTCAGAGTACATGAGTAAATCACAAGTTTGGTTCCGAGTCCAGTCACAAGTCACTCTAAAAACTCTTGGCTCAGAATTGACCGATCTGAGGAAAAGATGGTGGTATACGCAGTGCCTGCCTTTATTGCTACGTCATGGGGGGGGGGGGTATGGCCCCGTTGCCCCCCTCCCTTGGATCCGCCCTTGAGTCTATATCTGCACAGTCCTTTTCCGGGTCGAAATTGACACTCTCTGGATCAAAATGATATTGAAAAATGTCATTTTTGATCCAGAAAAGTGTCATTTTGACCAGAAAAGTGTCATTTTGACCCGGTAAAGGACTGTGCAGATATAGACTCAGATTCTGGGTCCATTCTGACCCAGGAGTTACATTGTACACAAATTGTTCCTAATAATCTACGATTGAAACAAATGTTGTATTTTTTTTACAGATCGCATGCTCAATTAGGCTATCGACATCCATGAGTAATGTTGCCACGAGGGATGCTACTGGGAGGAAATCGTGGAATATTGCTAGACAACACAGCAAGATACACGGCCTGAACGGGCATGCTGCCCGGCTTAGTTAACGTAGAATTAGTAATGAAGTCGTTCCTTTTATCTTGATATGATGTATTCCTTCGTCTTTAAGTAACTTTGCTTATTTTTTTTCTCTTAATATTTAAATGTGGTATTTTGGGATTATTGTTTTGAAGCCGGTTGTCTAACGAGTATATCACACATTGTATTAACTGATTACTCAATCAATATTTGATTCAAACAATATTCAAACAATACTGATCAAGGTGGTGAATTTTGAAAGAAAAAAACAAACGAGGGGAAAAACCGACAAAAAGTCACGCATGACGTAAACGTAATAGCAGAATAAGAAGGAGGGACGTTGCTTGCTGGTTCGAGCTCGCACCTCCATTTTATAACTGCATTTTTTCAAATAATATTCCTCAAATAATATGAAACTGCTATGAAGACTTTGGGGAAAAGCGTTATAAAGAAAACTGCAATTTCTCCACGAGGACAGACCGCTTTTTTAAAACTTTGTTCCGTTGTTCTTGTATATCTTTCAAAATTAGAAAGTCATAAGTACTCTGTGAAATCAACTTAAGTTTGAAGACTGTTCGAACCAAATTAAGAAACTATAGTCACGTATACATAGCAAAAGAATTTGACGACCCGCTGCAACTGTAGTTTTACATAAAGTTATTCATAAGCTTTTTGTCCAATACACGAGAGGAAGAAAGTGGCAGAGCCCTAGCTGCAAATATTACAATTAATTTTGGTTTAAGTAGACCTTCGTCATAAAGTACGCATATCGGTTGGTAAAGTTTTGGCGTAATAACAAACTTCGGCCCGATCTAGGTACCTGAAGATAGAACTATTATTCTTGCAATGAACCTGTCGATTACTTTAGCAAGTTTAAAATACGATTACAAAATCAACCGTGATAGAATCACTTACTTATACGATCATGAACATGTTATACATAAAAAAAAAACTTGTTTTGTGTCAATCTAATCTATTTTTGCTCCTAGAATAGATCTGGTTTTACTCTACAAAGTTGATCTTTAAAAGTAAAATCTTAAGACACTGTGCAATGATTTCTATTTATAGACAGATAAATCACTAGAGACTCGTATCTTACTACTGTAATTCTTTCATTGGTTCAGGTAATCTCTTACTTTTATTTCAACTTTTCAAATTACACATTTTACTGAAAGACTTCATTAAATTAAGTAGCAAAGCAATCTGCGTGAGAATGGAGTGTTTAAGAAATAACTGTGTCTTGGAATTAGGGATTTGAACGACAAAAAGTGCAGGTGAACTTGTACAGCAGGTGTGCTAATGTAGGATGGAAAAAAAGAAAACTTCTTCTGGGTTGACTAAAAGTGACATTTAAATGCCTCTTTACTGGGTAAAAGAAGTAGCAGTAACTTTAGAAAAACTAGACCAAAGTCCTCCTCCCCCAATCAGTGTCGTTACCGTCTTTGGGGAGTGACTACTACTGCCGTCTCAATACGCTTCCCATCTCGGCCTTCCAAAATATATGATTCGTGACGTTTAAAAGAAATATTGAAGTCGGATTAAGATTTAAAAAACAGACAAGGAAATGCGGAAGGATTATGTCACTGAATACTTGAAACACCAATTTTCTCACTGGTCTCCTCCAATCTTATACTTACTTTACGGCAAGTCTAATCAAAACGGGAAATAAACAGAGGCGTAGCCAGCGGGGGGGGGGGGGGGGGAGGTGGGGGAGGAGAGCCCCCAATATTTTCCATTCAGGTGACTTTTTTCATAAGCGTTTACCCCCCCCCCCGAAATCTTTGTAAAGAGTGCCCATTAAAAAAAAGGTGGCCTTTTTACAAGCGGCCTTTAACGAGTGATCTTTCTGGAATTTCGCGCGACCGTCGGCAATTGTGCCGCCCTGAAAAGCGCCATCTATTGTCCGGCAGTGAGCATGATCGTTCGGTTTGAACAGCGCCCCCATTGGAAGATGGAACCAGCCCCCTCCCCCTCTACCATTCCCCCTCCCCCCCCCCCCCCATTGAATTTAAGGAGGCCAAGTGTCCGGATTATCTAAACAATGCTTTCGCCTTTGAAGGGGGCCTTCGTGATAGAATTGATAGCGTGCTCGGATTGTACGAGTGCGTGCGGGGGGAGGGCTAGCAGGGAAACATGTAGATGGCGGAATGCAGCACTTACATGGAACAAGAAATGTGGGAATACAATACAATGAATTGAGAAGAAAAGGTGTCAACGGAAAGCAAAATATGTGATTATTGGGGTCATGGTGCAGTGGTGATGACATATGAAAAAGTGAAAGGGAGAGGCGAGGAAGGGTAGGATAGAGTATGGTTGGATTGGAAAGGAAAGTTAAGGACAAATGCAGGACCAGGAATGGAGGATACAGGTGAAAAGAAAGACAGGGCTACTCCAAAATACCAGCACATTCTATCCAATTACAATCGGACGGCACTAGAAACATTTCCTGGTGTGCTATAGTGTGTCCACATATGAAAATATTAACTTAGTGCTTGGAATCATTCTGATTACGAGCGTAAGAATTTACTTTGTACGTTTGATGGATCAAAGTTTTTAATTTACATTTTGTACACCAAAAAAAAACAATCAGACCAGAAAGTAATACCTATGACGATTTCAGAGACTTTTCCAAAGACAAATGGGACAAATCCTGGAAAATTTAGAGAAAAATGACAAAACTGTTTGGACCCCTGTTCATTTTCAATGGGCCGCTTTCGCTTTATGCCTTCGGGCATATTTGTGCGCATGCGTGCATGAATTTGAATTTATTAGTGAACTGGTCTATACAGCCTGAAATTAAAAGGTCACGTGGCGAGCTTCCGGCCCTTCGCGCGGTATCATAAAAAAAAAAACATTTTAGTTTCCAATTTAAATTTGAGTTTTCACCCAACGACTGCAACCAAATTATTTAATAAATTGTCTTCTTTGTAGGGGCTACACCGAGTTCCACTAGTCCACATGTATTTTGGATTTTCGGATGTTTCTCTTTTGAGTAACAATTTTACAAAGGCCTTTTTCGAGGGTGATTTTCTTAAAAATTCAATGTACCAAAAAGAATTACACATTTTATAATTTTTGCACGTTAATTTTTTCTATTCAAGGGGTCCAGAAGCGCGCCACCAGGAGTGAACTTTCAGGCTCTATTCTAATACAAATGGTTGAATGCCGCCGTAGAGGGCGGTCGTGCAACCATACGCTGGATACGCTGCAGGATTGGCCTCCTTGACTAAAAAAAAAAGGAGCAGCAAGAAAAACGTCGACCGAATGCGACTCCAGCATTGTCCAAATTTAGCATAGTTTGGGGTTTTTTTTTTATTCATTACAAAAATCCATTATCTCAGAGAACAAGGCGGAAATTAATCCCACGAAACTCACAAGTGGTAGAAAAAACACAGTAGTAAACAAGTAATAAAACACCTTGTTTGTTTTCAATAAGTTTGTTAACTTTCATGCGAAAAGTGTCATCGACACATTTATATTTAGGGCACGCTGTAGAACATTGCAGCTAATTCGTGTTCAAGTGTTTATGTGCCTATATTAGATTCCAAATTGTGACAGGAATTTGGTTACGGGATTGTAATCATTCAAACACGATTAATAATCCCATCTTAACTACCAGTATGAAAACGGCAACATAATTGTCCCGTTTTGTAAAGTAATTATCTAAACAGGGGGAGTTGTAAGTCCACTTGGAGAAAAAAAATGCGGGTGTACGTCTCCTTTACAACTTTTCAAAACGTTGGCAATTGAGTCTTAAATTACAAATGATTGTCGTCGCGTGATGTATAGTCCTACACATGTCCCACCCACGGGCAGCACGGGCTAGAAAAAGCATATAAGCTCGCCGATTTCCGTGGTGTGCCAAACCGGAGCTGGCGTGACGTTGCTGCTATCGGCCCTTGTTTGCGTGGTATAGTTTCTACCAAGAAGATTAATAGTTGAGCTTCTCTCTGCCAATATCACCATGAAGTGCTTCATCCTGCTTCTTCTGATTGGGGCTTGTGCTGCAGCAGCTATCGAAGGTGGGTAGTTTTGTTCTCTGTCACTGACACGACACGAACTTAGAGTAAATAACCAGTAATATTGACTGGTATATAGGGTTGTTTCGTGATCATCAAAAGGCACCCAGGCGATGTCCATGGTGTTATTCGTAGCCAACTCGAAAAGGAATATAACCTTCTTTTTTTTTTACCTCTCCAAACACAGATCAATGACAATTAAGTTATTAGAGTTATATTGAATGGTAGTTAATAGGGAGACACTTTCTAGTAAATTATTTTATTAAAGAGATACTGATCGTTGGGGAGACAATTTGTGTCTCCCCAAAAATGCTTTAGATTTCTAGAACTAAAATGTTCTTTTCTAAAGTGATTCGAAGTTCTTGTGTCAGTACATGTCAGTACATTGTTTTCAATGAACACATTTTTGGGTCCACAATTTGAGCAGAAAACACCTAAAATGAACAGTGTCGTCCTGCAATGACATCACAGCAACAACGCCCTCAGTTGTCCGGAAAAGTATGGACAATTTTGAAAGTTTAAAGAAGTGCACTTTTCAAAAAATGTACCAAAAGGGATGTCAAATATCTTTCACACATTTAAGAGGAGTGAGAGTTGCACAAAATGTGTTCCTAAGAACAATTCATTTTGTGAACGCTTTAAGAAGTTTAGGGATGGGTAGTATTTTCCAATGTGGTTATAGGTGCCTTGTGCACAGGTCTATGGGAATGGTTCTCTCGAGTACCATTTTGGTAAATGTAATATGTACTATTTTGATCACTGTTACGAGTTCGAACTTTGTTCAAACGCTCCTCTCTCACGGGTGAAAGGATAATTGCGTACAATACTAAATATTATTGAGTATTTTGAAAGAAACCTAAATGATACTTTAATTCTTATACAACTTTATATTCGCTCAGACTGTTAAAGCGTACCACAGAATCTCTTGCAAAGAGCAAGCTCACGAAGAAACATGAACTTTTACGTTAGTTCTGACTATTTGGTCATAATAATAACAAAAAATGCAAATGATGTGTAGCGATTGTGTTCACTTAACAATGCATTCCCCGCGCTAAGTTCTTGTTTTACCTGGAAAATGAATTATGAATTGCTCTTTTCCCTAGCAATATAAAAGTTATTCACTTTTGAATGAGGCATCGAACGAAAAAATCCAAAGACGTTAAGTTGTTTCTTTACAAACTTCGAATTATTGGCAACCAGACAATAACTTGGCTTTCGCATGAGGGCGGGTTCATTTCGTGCTCAAAATGGAGGGTTGCGACACCCAAAATATGAATAATGTAGTTTTGTGATTTTCGTTAACACAAAACATACAAATGGAAATCTCATTAAGAAGGGAAAAAACATTTTCTAAGAGCACAGGGTGTACATCTTTAAAAGAATTGTTTACAGAAAGAACAAATTAAATGAAACAGACTGTCATCTATTCTCATGCGACATTATAAGCGTTTAACACTCCAGAAAAGAAAAGAATGACATGCTAATAATCAAATGGCTTGTTTTTCTTCTCATTTCTTTGTCGTTTTATTTTGTTGCTCTGTTGCATTTGAATTAAAGCGCGCGCCTCCTGACACTAATTTTTGGATCTGTACCAAAAATGGAATGCTGTGCAACACATTTGTTGCGTATACTATAGGCCTAAATCATTATATAGGCTATACATGGCGTAAGTTACGTTTAGTGAAACTGGCGTCAGGTCTGTTTACTGAAAATGTTCACATCTAATCATCTTGTGTACAGACCATGTTATATTTGTTTACAAATTGGATACTGTGGTCACGTGATGCCAAATTTCAGCAAACTGTTCTCTCTTTGCGCTTCATGCATGTGTAGCCTGTCTCGGAAAACGTGTAAAACTGGTGACACAAACCGTACATTATGAGTACAATAACATGCAAAAGATGATTCAATGTTTGGGTTGACTGCTAGTATGACGTCACAGGTTACATGGTCCATTTTACACCCTTTTTGGTGACCATTCATTTTTTTTCGATGTTTGCATTCTGACATTCAGATGACACCAAGGCATTGGAAGCCTTAATGCAAGCGATTGACAGCAATGAGGACGGAGAGATGGAGACCAAGGTGGAACCTTCCCTGTATGCTAATTTGATTATTATTTGTTGTTTTAAATCATAACCTTTACGATCTGCTGAGCGGAAAATAATGTTTAGCGGATTTACTTACTAAGCAGAAAACGGTTGACAACCAGTCACAAGCAGTATAAATCCCATGGCATTTCGGTTGGTATAACCTGATATCGCTAAGCCCTTTCACTGCTTAGCACGATTATGCTCAGCACATAGTTTCCTCTATTACTTGCCCATTGAGCATAAATTAAATAGCTCGCTGGCTAACTACGATGGCTCAGAAGCTACATTCCGGCCTGAAATCCCCGAAAATTAATGACTTGGATTGTTGAAAGTCTGGTTGAAAGGAAACTACCCTAATGTCGCACTGTTCCTGAGAAAAGACGAAAAATCGCGGGTTATTTTTCTTCTGACGCGGCGGACACTTTATGGTATACGCATACGTATTACCAGCCGTTTCCATTCAATGTAAAGTACACGTTGAGTGTGTGAGCCGTAATACACACAGCACCAATACACAAATGTTGTTTCTCGCACGTCCGCAGAATGCGATGTTCCACCGGTGGAACATGTGCGGCAGGAATCATGACTAGCACCCAACAGCTCATTTTTTAGGAGTCAACATTTTGACCCCGAAATTCATTCTCGCATGATTCTCGCAAGAATAACACAAAAAACGACCAGTTTTTAAAGGGGCGTTGTGTGGACGTTTATATACTATTGCTAAATGCTAGGCTTTCCGGCAATTAACGTCATTTCGTTTAAAACGCGTTTTGTAGCCCAATTGGGCGCATTCCAGGACGTAATGTCCCTTTAATTAATTAAGATTTTGCTTACTTTAGTAAACGGAGAGAAATATGCGATTTTTTAATCCAAATGAATGTTAACTCCATTCTTTGGGGGTTATGAAAAATTAGATGTTAAACTGGGCGCCTGCAAACCCGCGAAAGAGCATTATCTTCTGGGATGCCTTAGTCCACACAATTTCCGTCTTGCTAAATTCCGTCTTACAATTTCCGTCTTGCTTGTGTTTTGTTTCGGGCAGCAAATAGTATTTGAACGGTTTGTAAAGGCCTTCCCGCTGCGCTGACCCAAACAAATTATAGCCAAATGCCCTCAGTAGCCTAGATTAGTCCCACATGTCCATGACTGCTATTAACTGAAACCTCCGAATGTGTATCGTATACAGGAAGAACCGCATCTCCACAGGATCGTGGGGACACCACCACCACCGTCACCACCACCACCACCATCACCATCACCACCATCACCACCATCACTACCATCACTACCATCACTGCAAACGAGATGAGAACAACTCAGGTAATTGTTTAAACTATAGGCCTAGAAGAAAAAGTACATAACATGACTTTTTGTGTCGATTCTTCTTTCTGAACCAGTGCTGTACAGGGTGTTTCAATAAAAAGGAAACCCAACTTTGAAGAACCAGTATGGACAGACTGTTTACTGGCTATAAAACTGTTATCATCTGAAAGCGTAATCTCTAGCTTTTCAATGATACCATGTTTACATTTCCAGGGTCATGCATCACTGAGCACCACTGTCATGAGATTTTGATGCAAAGTTGTTGGTTCAATTTCATGTCAAACACAATAGGCATGGTGTGCATGAGAATAAGTATTCACGAAGAAGACACAAGTGCATAAAAAGAAACCAAAAAAAAACCAAGTCGGGTTGGTTTCAAAACTGGATTTTATGGTTTGTCATGAATTTCTCGTTTTGACCAAGCCACGTTCAAAACAATGTGCCATTTTCCCGAGGATTAACATTCAAGCCATTTCACAGACATGTTCGTAACAATAGGTACACCGTGCCCAGTGGGTTTTTATTATGAAAGTGAACCAACTGCATTTTTGCATCCAGTTTTCAAGACAATGATGCTCACTGATGCATGACTCAGAAAACCTAAACATAGTATCATTGAAAAGCATAGAGATTACGCTTTCAGATGATACCAGTTTTATAGCCAGTAAACATATCGTATGTCAAAACTCATTCTTTGAAGTTGGGTTTCCTTTTTTTTTAAACACCCTGTATAGTCCAGTCCATTACGAGTCAGAGTACATGAGCTAGTAAGTCACAAAGTTCGGTTCTGAGTCCAGTCACAAAGAACATGTAAACAAGTTTAATTATTGTTCCTAATAGTCTACGATTTAAACTAAATGTTTATTTTTTTTTTTTTACAGATGAGTTTCCGACTGAGGGTGATGCCACTTCCTTCATGACAAGTGCTGACGAGCGTAAGGCCAACATCATCCATGAGTAATGTTGCCACGAGGGATGCTTCTGGGAGGAAATCTTGGAACATTGCTATAGATGCACATCAAATTAGTAGCGAATTCGTTCATTTTATCTAGATATCATGTACTAGTTTTGCTTATTTTTGATTTCTCTTTAGGATTAAAGGTGGTATTTTTTGGTTATTTTTTAAGCGGTTGTCTATCGTGTATATCACACATTGTTTCTGATAATTAATACTTCATTCAAACAATATTCAAATAATACTAAACAAGATGGTGGATTAAAAACAAAAACACCGGAAAAAAACTGTAAAGTTCTTGAGTAACGCATGACGTAAACGTAACAGCAGAATAAGAAGGAGGGACGTTGCTTGCTGGTTCGAGCACGCACCTCCATTTTGTAACTGCATTGTTTTTCAAATAATATTCCCTAAATAATATGAAACTTCTATAATGAAGAATTTTGGGAAAAGCGTTAAAAACAAAACTGCAATTTCTCCACGAGGACAGCCGCTTTGTTTAAATTCTTATTTTGTTGCTCTCGTTTATCTTTCAAAATATGAAAGTCATAATTACTCTGTGAAATCAACTTGAGTTTGAAGGCTGTTCGAACCAATATAAGAAACTATAGTCACGTATATAGCAAAAGCTAGTTTGACGACCCGCTGCAACTGCGGTTTTACATAAAGTCATTAAAAAGCATTTTGTCCAATACTTGAGAGAAAGGAAGTGGCAGAGCTCTAGCTGCAAATATTACAATTAATTTTGGTTTAAGTAGACCTTCATCATAAAGTACGCATATCTGGTAAAGTTTTGGCGTAGTAACAAACTTCGGTCCGAATAGTTACCTGAAGGTAGAACTATTATTCTTGCAATGAACCTGTCGCTAACTTTAGCAAGTTTAAAAAACGATTACAAAAACAGCGTAATACAATCACTTACTTATGCGATCACGAACTTGTTATTCATCACCAAAACATGTTTTGCGTCAATCTAATCTATTTTTGCTCCTAGAATAGATCGGGTTTTACTCTATAAAGTTGATCGTTAAAAGTAAAATCTTAAGACACTGTGCAATGATTTCTATTTACAGACAGATAAATCACTGTAGACTCGTATCTTACTACCGTAATTCTTTCATTGCTTCAGGTTATCTCTAACTTTTATTTCAACTTTCAAATTACACATTTACTGAACGACTTCATTAAATTAAGTAGCAAAGCAATCTGCGAAAGAGTGGAGTGTTTAAGAAATAACTGTGTCTTGGAATGAGGGATTAGGGTCTTGCCGAACGATGACAAGTGAACATGCAAAACAGCACTTTTCTGTGTTGACTAAAATGAAATTTAACAGCCTCTAGATTGGGGGAAAAAGTCACACTAACTTGTGAAAAACGAGACGAAATCCCCCCCCCCCAATTAGTGTCATTACCGTCTTCGGGGAGTGACTACTACTGCTGTCTCAATGAGGATCTCATCTCGGCCTTTCCAAAATATCTAATTCGTGAAGTTTAAAAGAAAGATTGATGTAGGATAAAGATTTAAGAAACAGACAAGGAAATGAGGGAGGGTTAAGTTACTGAGTACTTGGAAAACCAATTTTCTCACTGGTCTGCTCCAATCTTATACTTACTGCGGCAACTCTAATCAGAGAGGGACATCTTTCTAAGGCATAGCCATTGGGTGGGGGAGAAGGGGGTATTTAACACCCCCCCCCCTCCTAATTTTTCTGTTAAGACTTCCAAGGGCGTAAGGGGGATATTTACCCCCCGATTTTTTTTGGTAAAGACTACCCTGTTCCATTCAAGTGCCATTTTTTTTCATCAGCGTTTACCATCCCCCCCCCCCAAAAAAAGTGGTCTTTTTTTACCAGGGGCGTTTTGCGAGTGCCCTTTTTGGAATTTCGCGCGCCGCCCTGAAAAGCGCCATCTATTGTCCGATATAGTGCATGATCGCCCAGTTTGAACTAGTCATAGGCCGTGTCCGAAACGGGCTTCCAGAGCTACGGCTACGTCTATTGTCAGCGCGTCCCCGCGTATTTTCAATGGGCGCGGACCTAGACCTAGCTCTAGACAGTTGATTCGGATGCAGCCTGAGTATAGACCTATATCATGCTTCCACCATTTAGGTCATGTTCCCTGTATCCAATATCAGTACTGAATGATAATGTGTTTGTGCAAAAAGGAACCAGACTATTTTTCCCTCCAGCCTCGCTGTGGTTACATTGATTTGAATGGGAAGAAAATCAAATGGCTGCATCATGATAATGGTTTATAACCCGTTATCCACGGAGCCAAATCCTGAAGAACGTCCGACATGTCCTGACATGCAAATTTACGCAAGAACCACTCAGTAGCTTAAAATAATGCAGTCAAAACATTCACTAGATTCTTAATTATTGAAAGTTGACTAGGAACTTAGTTAAACATGCAAAGATTCAAACTATGACTAGAAAAGTAGTTGAATTTGACTCCAAGTTTAGTTTTTTTCAATACTGACTGGAAAAAAATCTAGTCAGATTGACTGATTTTCAGTTGCACCAAGTTGACCCTGAATAGCTTGTCCAATTTAACTGGTTTCTAGTCAAATCTGACTTTTGTGTTAGAGTGAGGGAAGCTATAGCTTCGCATCCGAGAACAGAGGTTGTCATTATCACCACGAGAGGGCAGTGTTCAGGGGTTGCTGTTTGGAGTTACAGTGCGCGAATCCGCGCACGTGATCACACAGTACACTCACGAGGCCCCTTTCAATGGAGAGAAACATTTTGGATGGTGGAATGCAGCTCTGAAAATGCTCAAATGTGGAAAGAAAAATGTAAGAAGATACGATAGTTAGCTTGAGAAACGGCGTAAGGGGAAACCTGAAGATGTGATGACAATGTGCTGATTATTGGGTCATGGTGCAGTGGTGATGAAATATCAAAGAGTGAAAGGAAGAGGCGAGGAAGGGTGGGATAGGGTATGGTTAGGTTGACAAGGAAAGTTAAGGACAAATGCGTAAAAAGGAAAATTTACTTTGTGAATTCAACAAAGTAAACATGTTACCCATCCCTATAGCTCAATGAGTTAAGTCACCGGCTGGGACTGTCTGCGAAGTCCAGGTTATGCATCTACTCATAGGTACGGAGCTCTTTTGCTGTCTCGGCAGCAAGGCATAGGGTGTCGCCTCGTTTCCTCCCTTGACGGTGCTTGGCCCTCCGGGGTTACATGGATGGATAGGGAAGGAGGTGTGGTGGGCCGGGGAATCCGAGACCCAGGAAGAGCCCTATATGGGAGTTGGTAACCAATCGCGACCCCCGAATGCTTCGTCAACACCACATAACTTTTTGTTTTTCTTTATCCCATTATTTTTTCATTGTCGATACTTTATAAGATACAGTAATGACGAAAAGGTTTTCTTCAAAAATAAATTCGCCCTCAGTAACAATCCCAGCCGGGCTACTGAAACACATTATTCATTTTCACCAGCCAGCATGTTTTTCTTTTTACACAGTGTCTTATAAACAAAAATGTGCATACATGTATAGCCTAAAACATGCATCCTGAGGCTGGTTGTTATACCGTAAACTTCGCGTATCAATTGATATTCATTTTCAATAACTTCAAATATCACAGAGCCTTGTGATATCACAGAAAAGCTTGTTTTTCTCAAAATGTAATTTTTTGACACAGGCGGGTCTGGTTTTAAGCACTCGAAATGAGAATCAAAGAAATGCAGCGATTCCTATTTCTAATCCTAATATGAAACACATACAATTGACAAGAGCTGTTTCGACGAACTACGTTACCAAAACAGCAAATTCTGAGCGGACTTCTTTTCGTACGTTTAATTCCAAAAACAAACTGCGCGTAAGCTTGACCGTTAAACGTGAATAGCGCCCTCAATCAACTAAAAGAAATCACACCGTACTGATCGTCATTGCACACTTGTATAATAATGATGTAATCACAAACCATTCTTTCTAATCACAACAGCAAAGAACCCCTTCATCCAACTTTAATTCTGATATGAAAACACATACTTAAGAGGATTGGCGAACTACGTCGCCCAAAACAGCTAATTATGCGAGAACTACTTTTCGTACGTTTAACCCCCAAACCAAACCTGCGTAGGCTTGACCGTTAAACCTAAATAGTGCCCTCAACTGACTGAGCGTATCGCCATAAATAATCGTCATTGGACAATGTACCCCGAATTCTTTCCAATCACTGACAGTACCGAGGAATTCGAACACACCTTACTTTCTCTTCCAATATCGGGCGTTACACTATTGACAGCACACTCTGTTACGTAATTTTCTAGCGCGTTGATTGTTACGCCGAATTGCCTATTCAACTTCACTCTCGATGGAGGAACCACCCCTCTCTCAAACCATTCTTCTTTTGTTTCACTTCTTGCAATTAACAATTCGTTGCATGTCGCGCGACCGTTAAGCCCAGTACTGGTCTCGCGCCCACGTATGTATAAGGCCAAATCCAGGACGCAGTGGGTTTTTTTTTTAGGGTGGGCCAAACCTTTTTGTTTGTTCCCCGATAAAGTGGGAACGGTCTACTTGAATGTTCCGCCCCAAATTTGATATGAAAAGCAAGGGGGCAATATGGCATCGGTGCATGGTGGCGCAATTTTAATGATGTACGCAGGTGGCTGCCTTTTTGCGACGTCAGTTTAAACCAAAAAAAAAGGTTGATTTTTTTTGGGGGGGGCATGGCCCCCGTTGCGCCCCCCCCCCCCCCCACACGGATCTGCCGTTGCGCATGAATGTCCGTGACATTTATGTCCCTATTCACCTGTGGCATCTTGACAGAGCCAATTAGTTTGTAACCGATTTTTTCTCATTGAATACAATTCCAGCAAAACCCAAATGCATGTATTCCACTTTACATGCATTTGGGCCTCCACTTTATAAATCTTGAGTTTTTCAACTCGCTATAATTATGCGATCGAAGTCATTGATTCCTGTTTTACAAAAAGCTGCGATAAACCAGGGAATGTTTGTTTCGGGAAATAAAACAGGTCATCATATCCATGTTTTGGTATAAAAAAGAAGTCAGTAATCGTAAGCTCTTGCGGAAGATATGAACCTATTACATCCCTGCCCATGGTTTATATACAGTAGGTTGTTCGATAATTAGGCCTAGAAGGGGCTTGGAAAAAAAGTGAACTTGCTTGAGCGTTTCTTTTCTATAGTTTCAATACCGTATCTCAATATGTATTATAAGTCATTTATGTATTATGTATTATAAGTCATTTGGGCGACATGTAGACACTGAGTTTCAATACCTTAAACATGCATCTGTCTTTCCATGCAACAGGCCTACACCGCCCAAGCACAGGTTAATACAAGCCGGTACATATGCCACATTCGCTCTTGTATCACGATATAACAGAGGCGGAGAAGTTGAACAGGCGAAGGCTTCCGATTCACATTGCAATAACGTATCGTTTTTAACAAAATAGTTACGTAACTTTTTGTGTTACGTAACGGAGGGCTAATACGAACAGTGCACTACACCAGTCGTGAAACAAAAACCGTATCTTGAAAGCAACTCTTTCAAAGTGAAACCAATTATTTGATCCACTGCAAAGAAAAGGTGAACAATCGTACTCGGCCGGAAACAAAGCTCACGAGTCGCTCGCGTGAGACCGAAACCTCTCCCTCGGTCTGAAAACAAACTGTACCAGCAATAGTCGACACATTGTGACCAACATAACAGGAACATAATATGCTCCATAGATTATTATTTCCATGTTTTGGTATTAAAAAATGTCAGTAATGGTAAGCTCTTACGAAAGATATGAACCTATCACATCCCTGCCCAGTTTTTGAACAGTAGGTCGTTCGATAATTTAGAAGGGCCTTTGAAAAGGTGTAGTTGCTGGGGCGTTTCTGTTCAATAACGTATCTCGCTTCCAATGCAACAGACCTGAAAACCGTCTCAATGCAGGTTGATCGGATAAAGCGGTGTGTGCTCTATTCGCTCTTTGTATCGCGATGTTGGAACAAAAGCGGAGAAGTGAACCGGTCCGCCGCCCGCCGCCCGCCGCCCGCCGCCCGCCGCCCGCCGCCCGCCGCCCGCCGCCCGCCGCCCGCCGCCCGCCGCCCGCCGGTGCGGCTTTCGAAATTTCTTCGGACAGACACTTTGCAGACCTTTTCGTATTCCGCAGACAACCCCCGCGGGTGTGCACGGTTTGTGGGGGAAGCGACATTAAAGATGACACCCCGTGCTGTT